CCACCATGCCCAGCTAATGTTTTGTATTTTTAGTAGAGACGGGGTTTCGCCATGTTGACCAGGATGGTCTCGATCTCTTGACCTCGTGATCCACCCGCCTCGGCCTCCCAAAGTGCTGGGATTACAGGCTTGAGCCACCGCGCCCGGCCTGTGTTCAGATTTTATAAAATTTAACAGTTGGGAAGATAGATTGACATACCCAAGTTGTTTGATATATATTTAAAAGTTTTCTGGTTGGGAGCAGTGGCTCATGCCTGAAATCCCAGCACTTTGGGAGGCTGAGAGGCGGGAGGATCACTTGAGGTCAGGAGTTCGAGACCAGCCTGGCTAACATGGCAAAACCCTGTCTCTACTAAAAATACAAAAATTAGCTGGGCGTGGTGGCGGGTGCCTGTAGTCCCAGCTACTTGGGAGGCTAAGACAGGAGAATCACTTGAGGTCAGGAGTTCAAGACCATCCTGGCCAACATGGTGAAACCCTGTCTCTATTAAAAATACAAAAAGTAGCTGGGCATAGTGGAGGGCACATGTAATCCCAGGTTCTTGGGAGGCTAAGGCAGGAGAACTGCATGAACCCACGAGGTGGAGGTTGCAGTGAGCTGAGATGGCAACACTGCACTCCAGGGTATCACAGCAAGACTCCATCTCAAAAATAAACAAAAAATTTAAAAAGATCTGTAGGAAAGGGCAGATCCTGAAAAGGGAAAGATCTGTAGAAAGGGCAGAGGATCTCAGGAAAGGGTAGCTGTCCCATTGAGATGCAGCTCAGGGGTTGGGACGTGGCTGGTTTCAAAGGTGACAAGGGCTTCAGGCTTCAAGGATTTGGAGCTCTATCCTGCAAGCAACAGTGAGTCGAGGAAGGGTTTTGAACAGGGAAGGGACAATACATGAACAGAGGGGCAACTGAGGCTGAGACTGGTGGGCAGCATAGCAGGACCTTGAACCCGGGTCTTGCTGGCTCCAAAGCCTGTCTGTGACCTTAGACTGCAGCCACTAACAATGAGGGAAAGGGGCCAGGTGTGGTGGCTCATGCCTGTAATCCCAGCACTTTGGGAGGCTGAGGCCGGTGGATCACCTGAGGTCAGGAGTTTGAGACCAGCCTGGCCAACATGGCAAAACCCTGTCTCTACTAAAAATACCAAAATTAGCCAGGGGTGGTGGCGCGGGTGCCTGTAATCCCAGCTATTTGGGAGGCTAAGGCAGGAGAATTGCTTGAACGCAGGAGGCAGAGGTTGCAGTGAGCCGAGATCGCGCCACTGTACTCCAGCCTGGGTGACAGAGCGAGACTCTTGTCACAAAAAAACAAAAGAAACAACACAATGAGGGAAAGGTAGGCATACACCCTACTGTCTGCTGTATACCACAGTCAGCACCCGCTCCTACCTAGTCCCCAGGAAAGCCTGAGAGGGGTCTGCTGTTAACATCCCTCCATTACAGATGACAAAGCCAAGGCCTGAAGAAAAACTGAGGCTCATTCTGTGCTAGACACTGCTCCTAACGTGTTGCATATATTTATCTTTCAATCAAAGCAAGCACCCTGTAAGGTCGGGGCCGTTAAGATCTCTATTATGTTTCATGTTTTTTTGTTTTTTGAGAGCAATTCTCAGTGTGTTGCCCAGGCTGGAGTGCAGTGGTGCGATCTTGGCTCACTGCAACCTCTGCCTCCTGGGTAGGAGTGATTCTCCTGCCTCAGCCTCCCAAGTAGCTGAGACCACAAGCGTGTGCTACCACACCCAGCTAATTTTTGTATTTTCAGTAGAAACGGGCTTTTACCATGTTGGCCAGGCTGGTTTCGAACTCCTGACCTCAAATGATTCATCATCCCAGCCTCCCAAAGTGCTGGGATTGTAGGCATGAGCCACTGTGGCCAGATCATGTATATTTTAAGGCTATTAAAAAAAAAAATCTGTGTTGTTCAAAAGAGGAAACAGGCATAAGGAGGTTGAGAGACCCACTGGAGGTGGCAGAGGTATAGCAGCAGCTAGCATTTATTGTGCATCAACTGCATGCCAAATACTGTCCTATGAGCTTTGGATGGTTTAACTCACCATCATGGCAGTCCTCAGAGATAGGCACTTTTCTGCTCATCTCCTTCCTATAAATGGGGAAACTGAGGCACGGAGCAGAGAAGTCACTTGCCCAGGGTGCTCTAGCTAGTGAGCCGAGGTGCCTTGGATTCAAACCAGTATTCAGCTTTCTCTGGAATATCAAGGAGGGTGGTGCAGTGGGGATGCTGGGGCAGGTGCGGCTCCATCACCCGCTAGACCCTCCACCCCTCGCCCTCTGCAGGTGAAGCTGTGTGACTTTGGCTTTGCGCGCATCATCGGGGAGAAGTCGTTCCGCCGCTCCGTGGTGGGCACGCCGGCCTACCTGGCGCCCGAGGTGCTGCTCAACCAGGGCTACAACCGCTCGCTGGACATGTGGTCGGTGGGCGTGATCATGTACGTCAGCCTCAGCGGCACGTTCCCTTTCAACGAGGACGAAGACATCAATGACCAGATCCAGAATGCCGCCTTCATGTACCCGGCTACCCCCTGGAGCCACATCTCAGCTGGAGGTGCCTGGGGCCCGCCTATCCCCTGGGTGGGTGGATGGTTGTGGGGTGGGGCTGGAGGAGTGGGCGGGGCCAAGGGACGGGGTGGACCTGGAAACAGCCTGGCACCTTGGGGGTGGAGCCTAGTGCTGGGGCGGGCCTACCAGAGGGGTGGGGCCACAGGAGGGGCAGTCCTGTAAACGGTGGGCTGGGACTCAGGCCTACACTAGGTTACTTGGGCTGGAAACCAAGTGTCCCAGAAGCGCTAAGGAGGACACTGGAGCCTTAGGGGACTGAGTGAGACTTGGCTTGTCTAGGGTGGGACCAGGACAGGGACTGGACTTGAGGGTGCCAAAGGGCGGGGTGACCAGGAGAAGGGGCCGAGCTTCTCAAGGCATTGGCTGGGACCTGTAGGCTTTGGGTTTATGACCCCAAAAGGGTCAGCCATGCAAAAAGGAGGCACCAGTGGGTAGGACTGAGGGACAAGGGCATGGCTACTTTGCTGGGTACTGGAGCCATGACTTGGGTGAAGATGGGCCTGAAGCCTGGGGTGAAGCTGTGGCTCACGCCTGTAATCCCAACACTTTGGAAGACCAAGGCAGGCAGACTGCTTGAGGTCAAGAGTTTGAGACCAGCCTGGCCAACATGGTGAAACCCCATCTCTATTAGAAATACAAAAAGTTAGCTGGATGGGGTGGTGCACACCTGTATTCCTAGCTACTCAAGAGGCTGAGGCAGGAGACTCTCATGAACCTGGCAGGTAGAGGTTGCAGTGAGCCAAGATTGTGCCACTGCACTCTAGCCTGGGCAACAGAGCGAGACTCTGTCTCAAATAAATAGCACAAGTGTAATTGTGTGTACCTTTGTATAGCAAAAAGAAAAAAAGTGGTGACACAGGGGAATGGGGAAATGGAAGAAGAGAATTGGTGAAGAGAAGAAGCCAGTGTGCACATGGGTGGGCAAGAGGAGACAAGTTTGTAAGGTAATGAGGAAATGGGTGGGTGAGTGGTTGGCACAGGTGAGGCCTCTGAGTCACCTGAGCTAGTGCAGAAGGAAGGTGTTGATGGCAGGCAGGCAGGCAGGCTAGGGGGGCCTATTGGAGAAGGAATGACCCTTTGTCCTGCAGCGCTTGAACTGTTTCTCTCTTTGTTGTGCAGCCATCGACCTCATCAACAACCTGCTGCAGGTGAAGATGCGCAAACGCTACAGTGTGGACAAATCTCTCAGCCATCCCTGGTTACAGGTGATGCAGGGGGCAGGGCTGGAGGAAGGGATGGAACTAGACCACTTACTGGCTAGGCAGGTAGTGAAGGATGTAGGCTTCCTTGGGTCTGGAATGTGGCTAGGCCTCCCATTGGCTGGGCGAGGAGGAGGGGGTGGAGCTAAATGTCTACTGGCTGGGTGGGTTGCAGAGGGTGTGGCTTCACCTTCACTGGTACCCAGATCTCAGTGGCAGAGCAGATGGCATCCAGGCACTGCTCCAATGCAGACCCCAAGCTAACCTCAGTTCTCTCGGGCCCAGGAGTACCAGACGTGGCTGGATCTCCGAGAACTGGAGGGGAAGATGGGCGAGCGATACATCACGCACGAGAGTGACGACGCGCGCTGGGAGCAGTTTGTGGCAGAACATCCGCTGCCCGGGTCCGGGCCACCCACGGACGACAGGGATTTCGCTGGGGCCCATCCACCACAGGACCACGACATGCAGGGGCTGACAGAGCGCATCAGCGTCCTCTGAGGCCCTGTGCCCTCGTCTGGCGGCTGCCCTCCACAGCAGCTCTTCAGAGGATCCCAGCAATGAACTGTTGTAGGGAAAGTGGCTTCCTGTCTAAACTGGATGGGACACGTGGGGTGGGGGGAGGGAGCTATTTCTAAGGCCCCTCCCTGTCTCCCCAGCAATTAAAACGGACTCATCTCTGGCCCCTTGGCCTTGGTCTCCAGAGCACACAGCACTCTTGAATCATTAATTAGTCTGTTGTACCAAGATGGGGTCCGTGTGGAAGGAGGACTGCCTGAAAAGAGGAAGCATGGAAGGGGTGGGGAAGGAGGACTAGCTGGGGTAGCGGATACAGAGGATTGCCAGGAGAGAAGACTAAGCGGAGGGAGGAGTAATGGAGGAGTTGGGAATAGGTGAGATGGAAGGAATGTGACTGGAGGGTAGAGAACTTGGAGAAAAGGAAGCAATCTAATGGTTTGTGATGACTGATTTTTTATTTGGTGGTGTTTTTCCTGCTAATCACAACTATTAGTAACAATTCAGGCTGGGTGCAGTGGCTCACACCTGTAATCCCAGCACTTTGGGAGACTGAGGCAGGCAGATCCCTTAGATCTCAGGAGTTTGAGACCAGCCTGGCCAACATGATGAAACTCCTTTCTACAAAAAGTAACAAAAACTAGCTGGGTGTGGTGGCTTGTGCCTGTGGTCCCAGCTACATGGGAGGCTGAGGCTGGAGGATCGCTTGAGCCCAGGAAGCAGAGATTGCAGTGAGCCAAGATCACATCACTGCCCTCCAGCTTGGGCAACAAAGTGAGACCCTGTCTCAAAAATAAACTACTAAAATAAAATGCAGTTAGCTCAAGTCTGATCCATAGTAGAAAACTGGTATGTAGGCCGGGCGCGGTGGCTCAAGCCTGTAATCCCAGCACTTTGGGAGGCCGAGGCAGGTGGATCACGAGGTCAAGAGATCGAGACCATCCTGGTCAACACGGTGAAACCCCATCTCTACCAAAAATACAAAAAATTAGCTGGGCATGGTGGTGCGTGCCTGTAATCCCAGCTACTCAGGAGGCTGAGGCAGGAGAATTGCCTGAACCCAGGAGGCGGAGGTTGCGGTGAGCCGAGATGGCACCATTGCACTCCAGCCTGGGTAACATGAGTGAAACTCCGTCTCAAAGAAAAAAAAAAAAAAGAAAACTGATATGTAACGTTTAGTATTTTTACTTTGGGAGGCCGAGATGGGTGGATCACGAAGTCAGGAGATTGAGACCATCCTGGCTAACACGGTGAAACCCCGTCTCTACTAAAAATACAAAAAATTAGCCAGGCATGGTGGCATGCACCTGTAATCCCAGCTACTAGGGAGGCTGAGGCAGGAGAATCGCTTGAACCTGGGAGGCAGAGGTTGCAGTGAGCTGAGATCGCCCCACTGCACTCCAGCCTGGGTGACAGAGCAAGACTCTGTCTCAAAAAAAAAAAAATTATTTTATATTGATGTGATGACTTCTCTATATGCTGAATATATAAAGAAGTATAGATTCACTCATTTCTTTGTCTCACTGAGCTGGGTCATGCTGAGGACTCCCTGGGGTTCACCATCCAGTGGAGAGACATACCTGTCCCTAGACAGTGATGACCCAGAATGGGAAGGGCAGGGCAGGGCTGGTGGAGTTTGGGAGGCCTGGGCAGCCTAGAATGAGCTCTCAAGGGTCAGAGGGTGGGTGGTCAGAGGTGACCTCTTAAGCTTAACCTTGGCCTTGAAAGACTGAAAGCAGAGGGAACATGTATCCACCTCTCTCTACCTTTGACTCCAGCCCTTCAGGTCCCCAGTTCTCCAATAACAGCCTAACACATGGTCCTCCACCTTCCACAGCTGAAGGTGAACCATCGGAGCATGCACCTGAACTCAAAAAATTAAAAAATAAAGACTTACCTGAAAGCTGGGCATGATGGCATGTGACTGTATTCCCAGCGACCTAAGAGGCTGAGGTGGGAGGATCGCTGGAGTCCAGGAGTTCAAGTCCAGTTTGGGCAACATAGCCTAAGAAAACGGGAAAACGAAAGAATTTAGCAGCCAATTTAGGCTAATATTGAGAGCTTACTCTCTGGCGTTTTCCAATTTGATTTGTGTCAACTTGTCCATCTGATGGTTGGTTCCAGAGCTGCAGCTTTTTTTTTTTGGAGGCAGGTTCTTACTCTTGCCCAGGTCGGAGAGCAGTGGCGTGATCACAGCTCACTGCAGCCTTGACCTCCTGGACTCCAGTGATCCTCCCACCTCAGCGTCCTGAGCAGGTGGGACTACAGGCATGTGCCATCATGCCCGGCTAATTTTTTGTATTTTTTGTGGAGGTTTTACCATGTTGCCCAGGCTGGTCTCACACTCCTGGGCTCAAGCAATCTACCTGCCTAGGCCTCCCAAAGTGCTGGGATTATATGCATGAGCCACTGCACCTGGCTGAGCTGCAGCTCTTTGAAGATGCTAAATGAGCCTCAGTAAACGAAGGTATTCAAATGAGCAGGATACCTCTGAGGTATACGTAGTCGAAGCTAAGACTATTGGGGAAAGTCTCTTAGACTCCATCCCCAATGCCTATGCTTCTATTTAGTCTAATGTCTAGAAGTGTAGGCAACAGAGAGATGAATCCATCTCCTGTGACAGGCCCAGGCTAGAAAATGTATAGAAAAGACTATCAGCCTTGACCTGCTCCTGTCTTGCCACTAGTTAATATCCCGAGACCAGAAACAAGAGACATGATTAAAAAACATCAAAACTCCTCAATTACAGAATTCCGAGATAGCGCAAACATCATGAGGTGCCATGAAAGATAAAATCAGGCCGAGCGCACCTATAATCCCAGCACTTTGGGAGGCCAAGGCGGGCAGATCACAAGGTCAGGAGTTCGAGACCAGGCTGGCTAAAATGGTGAAATCCCACCTTTACTGAAAATACAAAAATTAGCTGGGTGTGGTGGCATGTTCCTGTCGTCTCGGCTACTCAGAAGGCTGAGGCAGGAGTATCCCTTGAACCCGGGAGGTGGAGACTGTGGTGAGCTGAGATCGTGCCACTGCACTCCAGCCTGGGCAACAGAATGAGACTCCATCTCAAAGAAAGAAAATATGAAATTAAATCCACAATGAAAACTTGGGGCCCTACCACTTAAATCATTAGAGACAAAAAGTTTATCCTATTGGGACCCCTGGAACCACAAAACCTAATTTTGCTTGTTAGAGACAGGGTCTCGCTCTGACCACTGCACCCAGGCTTCCGTGCAGTGGTATGATCCTAGCTCACTACAGCCTCAAACTACTGGGTGGGTTCAAGCCATTCTCCCCCTCAGCCTCTTGAGTAGGTGGGATTACAGGCATGAGCCACCACACCTGGCTATTTTTCTGTTTGTTTT